TCTCCATGCAGCCACTGAGGAGATCGTCTCTTCTCCCCCCTCTGCTTCAGCAGTCAGCAGCAGAGAGGAGTACAGAACTCTTCCACCAGATGCTGCTCCTCTCTGTGTAGCTGCTGAGAAGATAGTATTTTCTTCCCCCCTCTGTTTCAGCTGTCAGCAGCAGAGAGGAGGATAGAACTCCTCCTACAGATCCTGCGCCTCTCTGTGCAGCTGCTGAGAAGGCAGTCTTTTCTCCCCCCTCCGTGTCAGCTGTCGGCAGCAGAGAGGAGGACAGAGCTCAACCAGATCCTGCACCTCTCTGTGCAGCTGCTGAGAAGGTAGTCTTTTCCTCCCCCATTTCATCAGTTGGTAGCAGAGATGAGGACAGAACTCCTCCACCAGATCCTGCACCTCTCTGTGCAGCTGCTGAGAAGGTAGTCTTTTCTCCCCCCTCTGTTCCAGCAGTCGGCAGCAGAAAGGAGGATAGAACTCCACCACATCCTGCACCTCGCCATGCAGCCGCTTAAGAGGTAATCTCTTCTCCCCCCTCTGTTTCAGCAGTCAGTGGCAGAGAGGAGGACAGAACTACTCCACAAGATCCTGTGCCTCTCTGTAGCGATGAAGTCACGTGCTCCACCTTGTCCAGTCAAAGAATGCTTTCCATCCACTGAAAGGATGCAAAGCATTCTCTGAATGGCGCTGGTGCCCAACGACCAACCTCCTGTGTTCAGAACACAGCAGGGCAGCTGCTTGGCATGGGACCCAGAAGCTAGTAGAGATCACCAGAGTGGAGTATTTAAAGTGGAGCTCAACCATTGAGTCAGAACCTGGACTGAGCAAAGCTAAAAAGGAGGGCCAGCATGACTGGGGTGTGCAGATGAGGTGGAGCACATGTTTGGGTGGGAGTATATGAAAGAGGTAGGGGGTGGTTACTTACCTGATTGGAGTATGCAAGCTTGAGGGGTGGTCTTGCCAAGACTAGGAGGTGGGTTGGGTCTTGTCGGAGGTCAGTCGGAGCTTGTGCCAGCACCAGGGGTGGACTGACCATTTGGAAACTCGGGCTCTGCCCGAGGGCCCTGGGTCAGTAGGGGGCCCCGTGAGATGCCCCTGGTACTTTTTTCATAGGCTGGTGGCCATATCACAGCAATGCCTCATTATGGTTTGGGCTGACCATCATAGGAAATCACCATATTGGCAAAATACAGTTGGAATTAATCAAGGATGGGCGAGGGCTTGTGACATTCGTCCTCACCGCTTGAGCACCGACACCCTTTTGCAAATGACCCCGAGGGGCCCATTTGAGCACTTGGGCACTGTCCGAGGGCCCGGGGTCAGTAGGGGGCCCCATGAGATGCCCCTGGTACTTTTTTCATAGGCTTTTTTGAGTTTGGGCTAGGACACAGGGACCCCATGATCCCCTATTGCCCAGGGGCCCCATGAGTTGTCAGTCCGCCCCCCTGGCCAGCACGGGTGTGGTTTCTCCCGCGCTCCCTCCCTGGAGCTGTTTCATTGTTTTGTTTTGCTGTTTTGTTTGTTCTGTTTTGGTTCTGGTTTGTTCTTTGTGTTTGTGTTTGTTTTGTGTGGGTTCATTGATTTTGTTTCTTGTCCTGAAGGGCATTTTGTGTCCTGAGGTGTTTGTCTGTTTGTTTTTTTTGTCATGGCAGCCGGTAGGGGTTGATGGGTCTTTGAAGGCGGTGCTGGAGTGACAATTTGGTGGATTATGGGTTGGGCTCATCGTAGGTATGGGTGTTCCTTCCCAATTCTAAGGTCACGTTGGTAAGGTGGGAGTTCATTGGCTGTATCTAGGACTACGTAACTGTAGTATTGTCCCCGAGGTGGTGTAGTAGCTGCTGGGGGCCTTTTCATTGGAGTTTTGGATGTGAGTATCGGTGCCTTCGAAGACCTTGGACCCGGTTGGGATCATTACTGTCAGTTATTATTTGAGTGTACTGTAAGTAGTGTTATGTTATTAGAGTTTTTTGTTAAATGGCTGCTTTGGCCGGTTTTACATCAAAAAAGAGTCGCGTGTTTATTTGGTGGGGAGGGTTGAAGGGTGGTGGTGGTTTTTATGGATTAGGTGGTAAGTATAAGCCTCAATATTCTGTATGTCCATCAGTCATGAAACAAATGTCAAACTTTGGAAAAGCTGTAATCTCAGGCTCTAAAATTAACTCTTTCGAAAATGTTGTGGCCCTTTTACGAGGGTGGCTGTACAGCAGAAAAGAGGTATGGGTCTTTGGAATTCAGGGGCCAAGTAGTCCAACCTGCCTGTCTCCTAAATAAAGCCAAATCGTTTGTTTTAGCTTTGGATAGAGCAGGGAGTCCGAGTCCCATGTTTGGGGGGATTCCCTTCACTTTTTGTCCTGTAGACCTGACCAGGAAGTTTTTCCAAAGGGAGGAATCCCCCTCCTAGGCACCCTGCCTCACGCCATCTAAAAAATGTTTAGCTTTATATACACTTTAAAGAGCCAGATGGCAAGTGTCCATTGTGGAGGAACAGTCTCAAAAGTCAGAGGCCAACCTTAACTTTGTATGCTGGTAGCCAGGTATGAAGGAGAGTCGGAATGAGTGTTGTATGTGTTGGTGGTCAAGCTGGGAAGAAGATGGCCATCCAGAAGGTCAATATTAAGCTGGTGGGATCACACATTGCATGTTTTTGGATATTTCATCCCCCAGAACTCCCTGGCTCAGCAGATTCTGTTAGATTCAGAAAGCTCCATCCCCCGAAGAATTCGGAGAACAGACAGTCATGTATTCCTTCTTCTCAATCCTTCGGTCTTTGAATCTGGACCTGAAGAATCCTTGAGGAATCATTAATGATTTTCAGGTATTTTGGCACA